CCAAAAAACCCCAAATTACAAAACCCAGAGCGTCTCCGCTCCTTCCTCCCCATCTCTCTCTTCTCTCTTCTTCCTCTCTAACTTCCTCAGTACCTGACAGCAAGCTAATGACGATTGGAGACGAGAACGATTCCAGTCTTATTTCGTCATTGTTTCTCAAACAAGTCAATTACAGGTTTCTCCTCTCTTTTACTTACAGTTCATAGTATATTGTTATTCTTTTCCCGATTTGGTATCTGTTTCATATGTGGTTGCAATCTATATAGCTAAATCAAGTGTTCGTCTTCATTTAATCGCTAAATCTGTTTCATCTGTGGCAGTTTCTGCTTTTTTGAGACGGTCTTTTGTTTTGCTACTAGACTTTCTAGTTTCATTGTTGACAAACACCTATTCCCTGGTCCTCTGCCATTTATTTTAGTTTTATTTACATTTGATGGTTATTCAAAAAAATCTCTGGCCATAAAACCAAAGCAATTGTCAGTTGCGCTAGGCTCAGGTTGAAGCCTGATGCCAATTTACTCTCCACTATCCAACTGGAATCCTTGCTTCTAAGCAGGGTTGGGATTCACTCTGCATTACCTCTAGCAATAAAATTAGTTGTCATGTACCGTTAAGAAACCGAAACATGATAGCAAGCCTAGAATTACAATTTCTAGTTTATGTGGCTTAGGCCAAGGTTCTGTATGTCAACATTACAATTATATACTGTACAATTTGATAGCATTTTCTTTCTCTTTTCTTTTTTTATAAATGCTTATCTAATCTGCTGATGCTTTGTTTTCAATGAATTAATTACTTTTTTAGAATGCATTTTCAGTTTCACATTTACTTCAATTATAAGATGCTGAAAATTCTGTTAGAATATAATGAAAATAACATTATAATGTTTCAATTAGAATTAAAACAATTCATCATATAATGAAATTTGAAATTCTAATAAGGATTTCTTAGGATTGTCGATATTATCCTATTGAATGAAACTAGGTACTCATGTGAAATCCAAAAGTTAATTCTTTTATTCCAGAGAGAGCCATTAAGCAAGAGAAAAGAAATAAGAATGAAGGAAGAAAAGAGGAAAGAATTATACGCTGAAACGCCTAAAAAACTTCCATTTATTTTGGTTTTCTCATTTGGATCAGTGAGTTATTAGTTGTTTCCCTCACTTGGTAGACTGCAAACTTAAGATACAGTAAACGGCAACTGTTCTGTTGGCACGCCAAGTTCCATCTTTCCTCACATTTACTGGTTATGTTTTCAATAGATTCTCCATATTTATATAGACTATATGGTTGCTTTCTACAAATAATATTGTGTATCCCATCTCTTTTTTTACCTAATCGTTTTATTTGTTGAGAAAATTAGTAGGGCCTGTAACTGGTTATGTTCCATGGCTGACTTTGGAATCTTTACATTGCAGTTGTGGTTCTTGTGGCTATCAGCTAAACTTAAACTCCTCTAACCGTAATACCTCAGTTATTGGTCCTGAATATGAGAAATCCTTAAAGAGAGGCGTCATTTCATTCTTGAGCATTGATGAAAGCAGATTTACAAAAATTGAAGAACGCAGATGGACACCATACTTCAACTCCATCCATTCCTGGGGCCTACTTCAACGAAGAACCAAGCTTCTTTGCTACAAGTGTGGAAACCACATAGGTAATGCTTACAAAGAGAATGCTTCTTTCCATCAGCTACCACTGCAACAATCACGGTTCATAACATGGGATGGTATTTCTGATTCTAATAAAATTTATGATATCAAAATACGTGCTTAACAGCCTTTATCTGCAGAGGACTGCAGTGTTGTTGCAGTCTTGCATTTTTGATCATGTAGAAGATTGAAAATTGTGCCGTAGCCATCTGAGATGCATACTCCCGTCATCCTTAACCCCATTCTTATAGTGGCAACATCTCCAGACACTTCATGGTTGTTAATCATAAGTTGTATGGCAGATATCATTGCCCTGGATACTTCAACAATCTAATCGGAAGGCATTCGTACTCAATTACCCTTTACCGTTCACAGCAATATTCCGTCTGGCACTTGAAACGTGGTAATAAATCATGTTGTTGATAGATGTTCCTTTATCCTTTTGTTGTATAATGCATCTTACCGAAGGTTCATTTTTGTATTCTGTTGTAGTTGTGACAAATTGTTGATTTTGTTACACTTTGTTGATATTCATTATGGTTGAAATAATATATTCAATTTCTGTGGTGTGGACCGATA